TTCTCACTTAAAAAAACTGGAGCACTCCATACCTCATCAGTGCTATAACATTTAAATATGTTCCCAGAAACAAGAGTTCAATCAAAAATCCTTCCTCAGTCATAGCCACAGCAATTAGACAAGAAAAATAAATAAAAGGTATCCAAATTGGAAGGGAAGAGGTAGAATTGTCATTATATGCAGATAACAGGATAACTATATATAGAAAACCCTAAAGACTCCACACAAAAACTATTAGAACCGATAAATGAATTCAGCAAGGTAGCAGGATACAAATTTAACCTACAGAAATCTGTTGCATTTCTTTATACTAACAATGAAGTATCAGAAAGGGAAAGTAAAAAAACAACCCCTTTTAAAATTGCATCAAAAAATAAAATACTTGTGAATAAACCAGACCAAGTAAGTGAAAGACTTACATGCAGAAACTATCAATATTCCAGTTTTATTGAGATATAATTGACATATAGCACTGTGTAAGTTTAAGGTGTACAGCATAATGATTTAACTTACATATCAAGAAATGATTACTATAATAAGTTTGGTGAACACTCATCTCATAAAGATAGAAAATTAAAGAAATAGAAAAAAATATTTTTCCCTTGGGATGAGAACTCAGGATTTTTCTCTTAACAGCTTTTACATGTAACGTACAGCAGTGTTAATTATATTAATCAGGTTGTACACTACATACCTAGTACATATTTATCTTATACCTTCAAGTTTGTACCTTTTGATTACCTTCATCCAATTCACCCTCCCCTCAAACTCTGTCTCTGGTAACTACAAGTCTGATCTCTTTTTCTGTGAGTTTTTTTATTTGTTATTGAAGTATATTTGACCTACAACACCATGTTAGTACCTGTTACACAGCATAGTGATTCAATATTTCTGCACATTTCAAAATGATCACTGCAATAAACCTAGTTAAGATCTGTCATCAAAGATACTGCGTAATTATTGACTACAAACACATTTTCTTATTTAGTCAATCGAGCATAAAATTAATTGATTGTATTTGGCCATATTGTAACTTGTTTGGTACGATTATCTTTTATCTCTCTTTTTCTCTTTTAGGTAGGGAGTTTAGTCTAAATAGTCCTAGATCTATTCTTATGGATCTAGCTTCCCAAGATCTGTATAAGTTGGCTTTTAAACTAAAGAAAATTATATGACAAGATAGACATTTACATGATTTTTTTTTCTTCATCCTATTTGGCAATACTGAACTAGGATCAAATTTTGTAATTAGTAATTTTGAAAATGTAATTTCAATTAATCAACCAATATAATTCAACTATAAACAAATGTATGGAATGAGACGACAGGTAGTTAGAAAATCTGTTTTAATTTTTAAAACATCAGCTGTTAGAATCATTTAAAGATACTTAGTTGGCTTGGATCATCAGAATCATAGCAATTGAAATGATCACAGATCATGTCCAACTCCCTCATTTCTAAAATAATTGAAACTGTGATTCTCTTGGAGATTCGCAC